GGTGATGTGGGAATTATACCCCGAAAGCACCCCCGCTGGGCCCATTCAGTGTGGGCTTCCCTGCGGAGCCAGTGCTGAAGGAAATTTCCATTTTGCAAGCAGGTAAGTTCTGCACATCATGGTAATAGCAAGGCGGGTCAGTCAAATGATCATCGGCTGCAATTAGCGCTCCAGAGGCCTCAGGGTTCTTTATCTCCTCCCGGGCCGCAGGTAGAAGGAAACGTCAGTTACTGACACCGCAGGCGTGAACGTTGCATTGTCCGTCTCAGCTGAGGAAGGTGCCCCAGCAGAGGGCATGGCTGGACTGCAGGGCCACACCCCACCTGTGTCTGCGGGAGGTTCCTCACAAAGAGGGAAAATGATGCTCAGTGAAACAAGCCAATCTGAGGAAGACGGGTGTCACATGATCCCACTTACGGGGGCACCTAGTGCACAAAAGGAACTGACCAACAAAATAAGACCCGAAGCAGGAGGCGTGGAATAGACGGACATACCTGGATGTGGGGGTGGGGGGACGAGAAGAGATAAACCACAGAACGTACAGACTTATAGGCAGAGCCCATGGACATGGGCAACGGGGTGGTGAATCCGTGGGGCGGGGGGCGGGGGGGAGGGTGTAAAGGAAAATGGGAGATATCTGTAACACAATCAACAATAGAAAATTTAAAAATGTTATATTTAAAAAGAATAAAGGAAAAGTTGGAAATAAAAAGTAGGAGCGTGCGGACAAGCAGAGATGCCACAGGAAGCCCTGGAGGTGTTCCTGGGTTCCACATGGCAGGCGTGGAAGGACAGCTGCCCTGGGCACTGGGGGTGCAGCGCCGGGGAGGGGGACGGGGCAGGCACCACCGAGGAGAGGCGCTTCCCCGCACACACTTGGCAGCGACGACCGAGAACAGCAGCGCTTCGGGGTCCGAGTGTGACGGGGACGCGGGCACCCACTGAAGAGACTCCGGCTCCAGAAAGAAAACAGGGCACAGAGTGAGGACACTGCCTTTTCTCTCAGCCGTGGCCATGGCCGTGGCTGTGACCGTGGACATAGTTCCAAGCTGCTCCCAAAGGGGGCAGCTCCACACGGGGTGTGGAGCCAGGAGGCCGAGGGGACACGCAGCCTGAGCCTGGGAAGCCAGGTGGGTCTGGGACAACAGGGAGCCCCACAAACAAGAGGGAGTGGAGGTGAGATAGGACGTCACTCCTGTGGCTGGTCCGTGGGACAGTGACCTTCACACAGGCTTTCTGACAAGGTCAGGGATGTCCTTCAGGCTTCATGGCCTGTAATGGATGTCACCACCTCTCGGCAGCACACCAGCCACAGGCGAGCCGGTGTGTGTTCACCATATTCAGTTTAGGGCCCGGGCAGCGGAGTTAGAATCGGCCTCGAGTGCGAAAGGAGGGAGAAAACGTCACTTTCCTGGTTCTGCTCTTGGAACCCTCAGCTGTCGGACCCGTGAATATGAACTCATAGTAGGTTTCCTTGAGGCTCAACCAGGAAACCTACTGTGTGTGGGAATGTTGCCCAAATAACACCTAGCACACAGCTCCTGAAAGACCACACAGGCATGCATAAGACGTGTACACAGGTGCCTCTGCTGTGAGGTACGGACCTCGAAGTCCTAACCGTTGATCATTTATTCTTCAAACGTAAATAATTTTGCCCTGGCCAGTTTGGTTCAGTGGTTAGAGCATCGGCCAAAGGGTCTCAGGTTCGATTCCCGATCAAGGGTACTCTTCCTTTTTCTTATTTGAAACGTTTTCTTTTTCCTCTTTGGGGCGCAAGTAGGAGGCAACCAATAAATGTGTCTCTAACACATCAATGTTTCTCTCTCTCTCTCCCCCTCCCCCAATCTTTCCACTCTCTCTAAAAATCAATGGGAAAAAATATTCTCATTGCGTGAGGATTAAAAAAAACAAAAACAAACTTAAATGATGTTCAGCCTGCGGCATTGTTGTAGGTTTTTAATATGTCCTGTGTCTCTGACCCTCCACCATGCGGCGTCATCTGTGAGCCTCGGAGCCAGGTGCTCTCCCCAATCGTGTAAACCAGTGACAGCAGCCTGAACGCCCCCCAGGGAGCCGCCACACCCTTTAAACGCACCTTCTTTCAAAGGAGCGCGCCTTCCCCCAAATGGCTCCACAGCCAGTGCCCAAGTTGCCTTGACAGTTTTGCCCAACTGCCATTTTCTTCCGACAGAATTTCCTCTAGAAATTGCCCACCCAAAGGGTTACATCTCCCTGGCAATGGAATTTATGACGGAGGTGAGGTGCCCCCGTGAAGTGTCAGTGGTATTTGTGTCCGTGGATCTCCAGGTAAACGCTCCGGTGTCGTATTTCGTGCTAAGTGACCGGCCTTGTGCGTAAGTAACCAGGGGGGCACTGTGGCCGCGGGAAGGATGGCACCCATCATGCATTGCTCTGCAGAAGCCCACATCCAGCAATTCACTTTGTAAATGTATGGCTTGGAGGGTAAAACCCTTTGTTCTCTAATAAAAAATGTCTCATGTCCCTAAGATGCATGTAGCGTTGTTACCAGGAAGCCCAGGGGGCAGGTGGCTTTTGCGTAACATTTGTGATTTACACAAGAGGTTTTGTAAAGTCTAGCTTGTCTGAGGACATAAAATTATCGTTATTAGCATAGCATTGTATTTATCATCAGACACGAAATTACATGGAAAAGTCTCCTGCTGACTTGACGTATATTTTATTGGGCGGGATACAACCGACGTTTACCGCAAAGGCAGGATTTTATTCGTCTGATGGCTGGCAGCGGGTGTGTGTTACTGTATCAGATGCGGTACATCACCTGGTTTTCTAATGCTTTCCATCGGGAAAGGGCCTGTGTGTTAAGGCATCCTGCGGGCCATCCCTGCTGCAGGGCAGACCTCAGAGGCCTGAGTGCATCTCCCTCTCTCCCTTGTTTCATGGATGAGGGTGCTGGGCTCCTGCCCCTTCAATTAGCTGCCGGGAAGGGGTTCCCTAAATGGGACATTTTCCCTTCTCTGCGGCGGGGCTCTCCATAGGTTTGCGCTGTTTGACTCCGGGATGCTCACCTGTCGGGGCGTGTCTGGGGGGCAGGTACCGGGAACCTCGGATCCTGGGTGGAGGTGAGGGAATCGTCGGTGGAAGTTGGCATCACAGACAGTTCTGTGAAGGGAGGTCATGGAAAAGGACATTCCCTCCAGGCCCAAGGGGAGGCGCTGGTTTAAACACAGAGCAGGGCTTTACCTGCCCTCCTGTCCTTCAACACCTGTTCCTCACCCGGGAAACTATCCCCTTCTCCTGCCCCTGGAGCCGCAGCAGCTGTGGCCTGCCCGTCCACGCGGTCCCGCTGTCACCGAATGGAAGGGCCCTTCACCGGGGCCTCCAGGCCTCCGGGACACGTTTGGACTTACTGTTCATTAAATGTATCTTGGTTACATACATTTTGTCAGAACTATATGGGTCTGTGGTGACCCATATATTTTCCTTTGGAAGAGCATTAGCATAATGAACCGCTGCAATGAGGTTAATAAAATCCTAAGAGAAAATAGAGCCACCGAAGAAGGGATCTGATAATCCAGGAGAAAGTCATTTCTTTGGACCCTGATGTTCAAGAAAACATTCAGATTTAATGGTAGGAGGGAGGTAGTAGCATAAATGTATTATTCATTAATACATAAATATTTTCGAGTGCAGGGACCAAAATGACTAGATAACATGTGTATTGAAGACTGCTACATGTGTTTGGATGATTCATTGTGCTGATTGGCTGGGAGTGGGGCAGGCAGGAGAAGAACTGACATCACTTGTTACTGGGCAGGGGGAGGACAGACCAGGAAATAGGATAGGTGATCCCATGCCGAGTGACACCTTTTTTAGGGGATGCAGGTGTCTAGTCGCTCCGAGTAGGACCAGAGCAGGTGACTCCTCACGCTGGGACGGAGCTTTGAAAACCACGGGGAAGTGTCCACAGCAGAACGGGGTGGGTGTGGAAAGGGAGGGAGCTGGGGGCAGACCGAGGAGAGGACGTCACCAGCTCAGGCTCCTGCGATGCCCAGGCTCCGAGTGGGGCTGCACCAGTCGGGGTCTCAGACTCGAGCGTTTTGCATTACTCCTGGGGCCACTGCAGAGGGCGGGGCGTTCTAGGCCGGGAAAGGCCATGCTGGGGTTGGTAACAAGGAGAGAGCATGAATGGGTCGCATGGACACACAAAGTACAGGGTCCAGACTGAAGCAGAGAGACTTGTGAGGAGGGGGGGGGTCTGGAAAGGCAGTGACATTGACACTGGTACCAGCTGCCACCGGAAGGCTGATCTGGCCTGGCCGTGTGGCTCAGTGGATTGAGCTTCGCCTCATGCACCCCCCGGGAGGTCATGGTTCCATTCTGAGTCAGGGCACATGCGTAGGTTGTGGGCTCGATCCACAGTAGGGGGCGTGCAGGAGGCAGCTGATCCATGTTTCTCTCTCATTGATGTTTCTCTATCCTTCTCCCTTACTCTTTCTCTAAAGTCAATAAAAAATTCAAAAAAGAATGCTGACCAGCCCTGGTAGGTGTGACCCAGTGCTAAGAGCATCGGTCCGCACACCAAAGGCTCCGGGTTCGATCCCCCTTCAAAGGCAGGGGTGCGCAGGAGATACGCTGAGGTGTCCCTGAGTTGTGATTCAGTCCTTGGCCCTGGGCGGAGAGCGTGTAGGAGGTAATCGATCAATGTGTCTCTCTCACATCAATGATTATCTTTTCTGTCTCTCCCTCCCTCGCCGTCCCTCCCTCCCTTCTCTCTAAATATCAATGGAAAAAATATCCTCAGGTGAGGATTAACAACAACAACAAAAAACAATAAAGGAAAGAATGCTAAACGGTGGGGTCGGCCATCTCAGCCCAGAGTGGACGCCCAGGGGTCCCGTAGCGGCCTCTGTTCGTGACCTGCCCCAGAAACACTCTGTATAGAAAAGGTGGCGTGTACATTCTTAATGTGGAAACTTTCCTTGATAATAGAATGTTTTTCTCCCCAAAACTTCTATTAGAACTATCCTATGCGTGGATCTTCAATGAATACCCTTCCTTTGTTGAGGAGGATGGCCGGAGGTTCATCTCTCAGGAGACAGGCCACCTCTACGTAGCCAAGGTGGAGCCGTCCGACGTCGGGAACTACACGTGCGTGGTGACCAGCGTGGTGACCGCCGCCAGGGTGCTGGGCTCCCCGACGCCGCTGATGCTGCGCGCCGACGGTAGGAAACTCGAGGTGGAAATGTGGTGAATCCAAGCAAAAACACGGGGATAGTGAAAAGTGTGTCTCGAAGAATTACCGTTGCATTTGTTTCGGAACAAGAAATACTTTCGAGCGCAGGGACCACAATGACTCCATAAACCGCGGGTCCCTGCGCACAGTCCTCACTCACGCAGGGCCAGCTTCAGAATTTGCAGAATGAAAACGAGGGGCCTGTTGTTCCAAAGTGATTAACTCTGGATTAACAGTTACCCGAGCCCTCTTCCTGGTCGGTTATAATTGCCCGTGTCCTTACCCAGTGTTTACATTACTGTTTCCTGTCGGCAGGGAGCCACTTACTCTGTCTGAGCTACCAGGGCGCCACTAAGTAACTTCCTTCCATAATTTTTGCTCTTCGTGGTATGTCAAAAAGTCAGAACGCCTTGTGTATTTCAGTTTGACCGGGAATGTCCTAATGGGGCAGACGATACCAAAGCCACCCATTTTCTACAAGGAAAACCCATGGCGCTTTTCTCAGAACCATTCCGTACACGGTAGCTTAGGAACCTGGGAATCCGAGGATGCTTACTCATGTTGCCCATGCAGCCCGAGTCAGCTCGGCGTCCGACCCCGCTAACGGGGGGTTGGGGGGGGGGATCATTGGCATCCCTAGGAGACGCTCGTCCCAGACGCAGCAAGAGAACGCTGTCTTGGAGGGAAAGGAGCCGGTTCCCAAGGAAACGGTGAAACCGTGCAATCTGCATTGTGGCTTTACAGGTGTGATGGGCGAATATGAACCGAAAATAGAAGTTCAGTTTCCAGAAACTCTTCCGGCCGCGAAAGGGTCCACCGTGAGGCTGGAATGCTTCGCCCTCGGGAAGTAAGTTCCGTCGCCTTCCGTCCCTCTGACGTGCTGAGCGGCAGGTGCCATACGGGATCGAGATGGTTTATGACAGACTCTTCTTTGCCTTATTTTCTTTCTTTCATTTGGAAGCAAAAGAAAAATAAAACATAGAGGGAATGCGCATGTATCATTTGCTGTGAAACTCTAAAGCAGCGGTTCTCAACCTGTGGGGCGCGACCATCGGAAAACACATATAGCATATCAGATATTTACATGACGATTCATAACAGCAAAATTACAGTTATGAAGTAGCAACGAAAATAATTTTATGGTTGGGGGTCACCACAACATGAGGAACTGTATTAAAGGGTCGCGGCATTAGGAAGGTTGAGAACCACTGTGAGTCTAAAGGCATCTGCCTGATTTTGTAAAGAACTGGTGTTATGTTTCTTTTCCTCGTTCCTATGATCATGCAGCGGGTAGGTTAGACCTTTTACACCAAATCATGAGTTCCCGCAGGAAAACACAGCACGTATGTTATTGCGCTGGGAACCTGAAGAGATCGGGCTAGGTGTGTGTAATTGACAAGGACAGAAACCCGTTGTCTTTTTCTGGATCCAAACCAAAGCTGTACTTGTTCCAGACTTCAGTTTACGATAGCAACTAACCCGCCGCGTTTCCTCGCAGCCCCGTGCCCCGGATCACGTGGAGGAGGAGTGACGGGCGGCCTTTCCCCAGTAAAATCAACTTGCGGAAGTTCGGAGGTGTGCTCGAGATCCCCGGCTTCGAACAGGAGGACGCGGGCTCCTACGAGTGCCTCGCAGAGAATTCCCGGGGGAGAAACGTGGCCCGGGGGCGTCTCACTTACTATGGTACGTGTCCCCGTGGTCGGTGTCCCTGTCCCCGTGGCCAGTGGGAGTGGGAGCTTCTCTCTTATCAAACTCTGAAGTGGGCGGGGCGGGACCGTACATGGCAGAATCCGAGGTCCAACTTGATCTCCGTTTTTGTGAAATCAGGATGAATATCATAAAAGGGGTTGAAAAGACATAGAAGTCTGCAGTTGGAGGCATGCCATGTTCTTTCTCTGCATTTTAAAATGATTCCTATGATCTCTATATATAAAAGCTTAGCGACCGTCTGACCGTTCAACCATTCGACCGGTAGCTATGAGGCGCACTGATCACCAGGGGGCAGATGCTCAACACACAGGCATGGAAACATGGAACAGACTGATGAATCTCAGAGGGAAGGGGGCAGGGGGGAGGGCGGGAAGAGATTAACCAAATTTGTGTACCGATGGGGCCCCTCGGCCTGGCCTGCAGGGGTCCAGGATTGCGAGAGGACGCAGGCCAGGCCCAGGGATCGAACTGCAGAGTGTCCCAGAGTGCACAGAGCTTGGAAGCAGACAACGAGGGAAGAGCTTGGCTTAGAAGTGACCGTGGCCACCTCCCCCTCAATATGGAAACGTTGATGAATCCGTGGAGTCAGGACGGAGGAGATGAAACAGCATCCGGCTCAGGGCTCACGTCCGTCTGTGGCTCTGTCTTGTGCCCGTGGGCATTGTCCGTGGAGAGCGTATTTATCCTTTCCTCGGCTGGGGCTTGACGCATTCCTTCCCTTGCAGCAAGCCTCACTGGGTCCAGCTCATCGGCGACGTGAGGCCGCGTGGAGGAGAGCCTGCGCTGGGATTGCCGGCCGCGGAAGCCAAGCCCTCCTACCGTGCTGAGGACGGGAGCCCTGGCGCTGGAGGTGAGGCTGTCCCGGG